GTATCTGGGTGGACAATCTAGTCAAATTGTGTATTTGAAATTTTGTTGATTTATATGGTTTTCAATACATCACAAATTCAATCTTTTTGTAGCTGATCGTTGAGACTGTGCTGCACCACCCACTGCCTTCGCCATCATCGTTTTTGTACTAGTCGTCTTGCCATTGCAATCATCGCTCCAGTGCCACACTCCACTTTCCCTATGTCGGTCCACCATAGTGCCATTATTGTTACACCGCCACCCGCACGCACCACTAGTATTATGTCGACTATGTTCACTCCTGATATACTGTCAATATTGGACCTTGACCCGAACCCTAACCGACCCAAAAATTTGGTTTGGTTGACCCGAACCCGAAGCGAGTCGGGTTCGGGTCCGAAAACTGACCCTTACAAAAGCGAGTCGGGTCGGGTTGACCCGGGAACCCAGGAATGACCGGAATGAGCTCTGACCAGCCCTGCCCGCCCGCACGCTTGCCCGCTGCCCGTGACTGCCGCGAGCCCGCTTGTAGCGCTCTCGCGTCGCGTGTCGCACGTGAGGACAGCGTGCACGCGCGTCCCGAGCTCACATCCCGAGCATTTCAGCTCACGCGCTGCGCGGCTCGAGCTGCTTCACCGACGTCGAGTTCGTATCGCCCGATGCTTTCGCCAGCTCGCTGCCGTCGGCCATGTCCTGCCGACCCGCTGCTGCAAGGTTTTTTATCGTCGGCGTCTTCGAGTTGACTCCGAAACCAGCTATGCAAAGAGAGAGAGGAGTCAGTTCATGGTCAGAAAGTCGACCTGTTTTAAAAAAACGGTCGGTTGACCCAACCCGAATAGTGCCGTGTCAGTTTCGTTCGACCCAACACGACCCGTGACCCGAAATGACAGGTCTAACTCCTGCCAACTATCAACACCGCATTTTTTACTTTAAATTGTATTCATCTACTTCAAGCAAAAATAAAATAATCACATACATTTATTTTACACTCACTAAAATTAATTCAAAACATTTCAAATACATGTATTCATTTCACATCACATTCCTTTTCAGCTAACAAGCATGCCCTTTGTAATAAATATCAACTTCAATAGCAATTAATAAAGTGCGCATTATTTATAGAATGAAGCTTTATTTATAAAATGTCCATTTCAAATGAACTCGCCTTTTCTTATTTTTTAAATTATTAAATTTGTTTATAATTCTCATAATCTATATTATATGTGTTGCTATTAGATTCGTGCACCGCTGCTGATCACAAAGCCAAGACTTTTCAGCTGCACTGAACAAAATGATTTCCTACGCAAATGCTGGTAAAAAATTGGAGGAAAATGAAAATTTTAAAACCTAACCTTTTATTTTAGGCTGATTCTCTCCATACCGTATTTAAGCAAAGGCTCGGCTCTAAATAATTATATAATCGTGTTGCTTAATATTTATAGGTTGATTTTAATTATTTGAATAAATATGGATTTATATATTGCATAATGCTCAAGTGAACAAATATGTAGTTACTTATTCTAAGGAATATACAAAAAGTTTAGGTTTAGGGTTAAATTAATTTTCACAGTTGTATGACAAATGTCATTAAAGTTTGTTGTAAACAAATTTGAATTAGATAAATTATATTCAAATTTTTGTTCAGATATGATTATGCCTTGTTAAAATATAGTTCGAACAAATTCGTATTTGATCCAGTAACTAATTCGAAACATGATTTGAACATAGCTCTATCTTAGTCCCACGCACATATAGTCTCATTAATGAGCCTTAAGAAGCTCCCTATTGTGAAAACCCTCACTACATAAATTTTGTTATTTGTGGCGGACTTTGTGACGAGCCAGCGAACGTAAATGGGCGCTGCCTCAAGTTTCAAGCTTTTCATTCATTTTTCTCATTGTTTGCAAGCTTGTCATCCTCCTTCGCTTTTCTACATCAGTGAGTAGGGGTGTCAATTTACACGACCCGAAACGACCCCGACCACGAAAAATTTGGGTTTCTGCGTCGACCCGTTTGTTGAAACGCGTCAGGTCGAGTTCAATAAACTGACCCGTTAAAAAAGAGTCGGTTGGGTGACCCAGACAACCCGAAAATTGGGTTTGGGTCTGCTGCCCAAGCATTTCCAGTGCCTGCCCAACGCGTCATCTGGAGCTGCCAAGTCGCGTCGACACCTGCGTGTTCCAAAGCCTCTGAGACTATCGCGTCTCGAATGGTCAAGTCTCGCGCGTGCGATGCCTCGGTGCCTGCCCTGCCGCTGCCACGTGCATTGCCTGCCCTGCCCGCGGGCGCTGCCCAAACCGCGAACGCCCATGCCCCCGCGGCTGCTCAGTCCCAAACCCACGAAACCCCGGCCCTTCGCCCGCTCAGGCGGCTCAGCCGCTGCTGCCTGTGCTGCGTGCGTTCCCGAAGCTCGTCGAGTCTCGACAGCCTTTGCGGTCCTTGAAACCCTTGGCTTTGGATGTTTTTTTTTAAATTTCTGGCGTTCAGGTGTTGTAAAGCCTGGCAACCGCACGGTCGTGTCAACCCGACACCCGTGCGGGTCAGGTCCTGTTTTGAACAAGCTGCCATTACAAAAAACGGGTCGGGTTCGGGTTACCCGTTTAGAGCCCGGGTCAAATTCGGGCTTCACCCAAACCCGACCAGCCGACCCGAATTGACACCCCTTCCGTGAGACCCCATATCCTTCGCGAACAAAAGAACTACGACAAACTCTTTCTCTTTTTTTTAAAAAAAATATTATTTTTAATGAGTGTAGCTTAGATAGTAGCCAGTATTTGTGGATTTGTGGGGAATTTTTTTCTATTTTTTAAAGGACCCTTTTGGCTTGCTGAAAATGCAAGTTTGGCTGAGAAGTGATACTCCAAATGATGTATCTAATAGCTATGTTACATATTAAATAGGAGAATCAATCATGTATATGAAATATTTTGAGATGGTAATTCATATTTGAACATTTGAGAGATGTTTTAGGTCTGAAAATTTTGGTGTGCCATAAGTGATACTCAAAGTAATGTGTCTTCAAGGTAAATTTGTTATTTTGGTAATTGTAAGTAGCCCAATTTATCTTTGTTTTTATGTGTGATTTGTATAGCATTAAGGATAATATAAGTATCTTAGGACTCATAATGTAATTTTTCTTAAGGAGATATAAGTAAATTGGTTTGTAGATGGTGGATTTTATTGTTGGTAATTTTTGTAGTAATTTAATTTAAATTGTTAGGTAAATAAATGGAGCAAGTTTTTGATAAACTTTTGTAATTATTCTAAATTCTAATATGTAGATTTTTGTTTATTGTTTTCTTTTTGTATTAGTGATAAGGTTTTGATGGAAATAGATTTTCTGTTAGTTAACCGCAATAAAATAAACATTTATATGAAGAAGAAGAAAAAAAAATAATATTTGTTAAGATTTGCATATTCTTGTTAAAGTCATGTAGGAGACATCCATTTACAGTGCTGGTGTTTAAATTATTTGATCATTAAATGATTTTATTATTAATATTTCATGCTGGCTTATTTGATTAAATATTCTGTTTTACAAAATTTTTTAATTAATTTGATGGAATTTGTTCAACAATAGTAGTTGTTTGAATGCAAAAAATAGAAGTGTTTGCGTCCATGGAGTATTTCGCGGCGGAGAGAATATAGTTTAATGTCTTAGCATTGTACGAAGATCCAGCACAACAATCAGATAAGTGATGAAGAGGGTAGCATTCATAAGAGACACCAGAGTTTTTACGTGGAAACCCCTGAAAGGACGGCGAAAAACCACGGGGCCTGGCCCAATTTGACTAGATATACAGTATTTGTAGTCGTACCATAATTGAGCCCTTCCTTGAGAAGGCATTGGATTTGATGTAGCAAATGTACATCATATAGATTGCCTTACATGGTGGAGTACATATACATGTTTGATTGGTCGGAAGAACTGTAGTCGGCAGGGAGACCGGGGTCAGAAAAATCGATTGTCGTTAATGTAGAGGTCGGAAGACCATAGTAGGCGACGGAAGCGTCGAGGAAGACTGTAGTTAGCAGGAGACTGCGGGCTATGAAAGACTGGTTGTCTGGTGATGAGAGGTCGGACGTACCATAGTAGGCGACAAGGTCGTGAGCAAGGACCGTAGTCGGCAGAGACTGCGGGTCTGAAAGACCCGTGTCTGGTGTATGGAGGTCGGATTATAAAAGACCATAGTAGGCCGACGCGGAAGGTCGGGGCAAGACCCGTCGTGGCAGGAGACCGGGGTCTTGAATGTCGAGAGCCTTAAGAAGGACGTCGGGTCTTCAGCAGGACATAGGACTGAAAGTCGGACCTTTAAGCCAAGACGTCTGGTCTTCAGCAAGACGTAAGAGACTGAACGTCGGGCCTCTTAAGCAGACGTAGGATGCTGAACGTCGGACCTTAAGGCAGTGGTGCCAATGAAAACTGCCG